TGCCAGGATGGTAAAAATTTATTGATGTTTTAACTAAAGAAAGAATTACTTCCTTTGTGATAAGAAATTGCAGTTTATAAAGTATATTAAAGTAAATTGGCTCCTGAAGGTGATAAATCTTTGGTTTATCACCTAATTTGTAGCCATAATTTTATAAAAACTCAGGTCACTTTAGAGCATTTGTTCCCCAAAGCCACCTTACACTGTCTGAATGAGGAATTCAGTTCTGGAGTCTGCTTTGCTCTGTGTACTATGGCAGAGTAAGTCTTTCATTCATTCAGCTATCTTTGGACTTTTCTGACTACCTAGTATATTTACTAAATGTATCATTTACACAAAGTATTATTTTGAGTCCTCCTCTGTTTCTTAACCAAACCTCATTTAAGCTGTCTGAAAAATTGTTACTAACCTAATATGTCATTCATTTTATCTGCATATTTTGATGTAATAAAAACAGGAAGTAAGCACAGAGCTACAAAAGAAAAAAACAAAAACAACAACTTTATACAAATGCTGGGCTTTTTTAAATTGCTTGGGAAAAATTATTTTAGAAAAGAGTCAAGAGTGAGGGAGTGAGAGGAAAAAAAAGAATACAAGAAACCATTCCTGATGTTCTAATGCCTAGAAATAGCAATTGCATGATTATGGTTAATATATCATGTTTTTGTTTTGATATACAGACTTTATTAGTCTCTTATGTCATTACTATGATCAAATACCTGACAAGAAACAACTTAAAGAGGGAATGATTTATTTTAGTTCATTGTTCAAGGACGTATAATCCATCAAAATGGGACAGACTGTGCAGCTGGGGTCTCTGTGGCAGCAGGAGCCTGCCGCGTGGCTCTTTGCATCGTTGTGGATCAGGAGGAAAAAGTGAGAGCATAAGTGAGATAGGCTATAAACTTCAAATACATGTCCACATCCATGACTGCTGTCTTGACCACCTATCTAGAAGGTTCCACAACATCGCAACCTCCAGCTGTCTATGAGGGATGTTTCCCATTCAGACCAAGGTGTGGACTAGATTTAAAAAAAAAAAACAAAAGAATAATATGTGTGTGGCTGTTTTGGTCTTCTCCCACTATTCATAATGTCTGACAGAATTATATATAATTATATAATTAAATATATATATATTTAAGATTTATTTATTTTTATTTTATGTGCATTGGTATGTCTGTGAACATGCCAGATTCCCTGGAACTGGAGCTAGAGACAATTGTGAATTGCTATTTGAGTGGTGGGAACTGAACCCAGGTTCTCTGGAAGAGCAGCCAGTGCTCTTAACACCTCCCCTCCCGGAGCCATCTCTCCAGTCCCAGAATTATATATTTATGGTACATTATCTAGTTCATTTTATTTCTTCAATCTTTCACATTTGTTATTTTGCCTCTAAATCTAGAACTATTGCTTCCAATTCTTTTAATCAAAACTACAAGCAGTAGATAAGCTATACTGCTGCCATGTTTACTCCATGGTGTGAGCCCCAGGTGGCAGAGAATCCCTTCCCTTCCCTTCTCACTTCTCTCTTTGCTAGCCTTGCCTCAGCATCTGTGGCATGGGATGCACTCCTGGCCAGCACGGCATTCCAAGGGCTGCAAATGAACTGTGTTTGTGCTTTCGGAGCCGTCGCAACGCTTTCCCTGCCTAGGTTCCTGGTTCACGTTCCTCCCTTTGGGTAAAACTACCAAAAGCAACTGAGAGTTTACTGTGTTTTTAAAATATATTTATTTGTGTGAGTGTGTGTGTGTGTGTGTGTGTGTGTGTGTGTGTGTGTGTGTATGAATATTTGTCTGTGCTTCATGTCATGTCTCTCTAGTGCCTGTGGATGCCAGAAGAGGGTATCAGGTCCACCAAAACGGGAGTTATACACATTTGTGGGTTCTAGGAACTGAATTTGGATTTCTTGAGCAGCAAATACTCAAATTCTGAGCCGTCTTCCCCACCCTAAGAATATACATTCTTAAATAATTATTTCTGTTGTTCTGTGACCCATATATGACGTATCTTTGTCAGTTTGGGGTGACTGTCCTGTTGTAGAGGTTAACCAGGAGTAATGTCAATAAACTGTAATATATAGGGTTCTGTGGGACCTCACGGGCTAAGAACTTAAAGAGAAATAATTCTGACACTGGGTTTTGTATTTGCTACACTGTGATGCCTACTAGGGGTGTTGTTCCTTTATTATAGGGTAACTTGGTATAAATTCTGTGTGTGTGTGTGTGTGTGTGTGTGTGTGTGTGTGTGTGTGTGTGTGTATGTAAGCAAGCTTGTACAGTAGTAAATTTCCGTATGACATTTTCAAAAGGTCTGTAATGCTTATTACCACATCCTAAACGTTCCCTTCACCCTTTCCTCCCACCCTCCCATATGACCCTTCCACTTCCATTACTTTCCCTTTCCCCTTTTATATCATCACATTGTATCTCCCCTCCCCTGAAAGTCCTTCCTTTATGATTTCTCACAAGTTTCCTGACCTCTATGGATATTCCAAAAGAAACATACATATCTAAATATTCAACATGAACATTCACATATGAGTGAATGTTTGTCTTTTTGTGCCTGAGTTACCTCAATGGAACGTAGAACAGGCAACATAGTCTGTGACTAGGTAGGCCATAGACCAGAGGGGAGAACCCACTACTATTATTCTACTAAATTAACATCACATTAAGATAAGTTTAATGACATCATTATACGCATATAGTAATGCATCTCTCAACTCTCAACAAGAAGTTTTGCTTGTTGCAGTAGATTGGCAGAAACCCACAACTTGTCAGAATACAGAGAGTAAAGACTGCAGAGTGTTCAGCACTAATTGGAACCTGTGGCATATGCTGTTCCCCCAAAGCATAGGGATCATGCAGGAAGAGGGAGCTTAAAGACTGTAAAAGCTTTAGACTGTGTATGATTACAATGAAGTGGCTCTCTGGACACATGACAGGTGTACATATGAACCCACAGCAGTTGTGGCAGACAAAATCAGCATGGGGTCTTGGAAGGTGGGCACCCTTCCCCGAGGACCTCTTAGCAAGTGAAGCTGCTAGGAAAGGGCAAGTCACTTTTCTAGGTGCTATGACCCTGCCCTTGTTAGGACCACTCTCTAGGGTTGGCCCTTCACCCAAGAGCAATTGCACTCACTGGGGTTAAACAAACAAAGGACACGAAACTGGGTGAGTAGGGATGTGGGAGTGCATTAGAAGGAATTGGAGTAGGCAGGTACATATGATCAAAATACATTATATGAAATTCTCAAAGGGTTAATAAATACTATTAACAAAATAAGAAATCTTAAATTCATTCTTCCCATAGATCCTGTTAGAACAACTCAGCACATTTTATCTCTTCTTTTGTGTTTTGTAGGCATTTGTCTCTTGAGAGTGATTGTCTTGTTTCCCTTGTAAGAATAAGGATCCATTCATCATTCCTTTGTCTGTTTTGGGTCTATTCTGGATAAGAACGAATCCTATTTGATAGAGTAGTATATTGGAATTTTAGAATTATATTTTTGTTGTGCATGATTGAATATTAAGTTGTGTGTAATATTCCTAAAAATTCAGAGCATTTTTATTCCTTGAGTCTCTGTTAGCCAACTTGTGAAATGTCAGAATTCTGTGGCTGATGCTACCTTCTCTCATGAAGCCCTGGTTTTTAATCTTCTTTTTTGATATTGATTTGTCAATGACTATCATTAAAAATTAACTTACCAAGTATCAGTTGTGCTTTGTGCTTTACCCCTTCCACTGGGAGATATAGAATGTCATAAAGCATGGCGAAGGACCTCCGCATCCAGCTAAGATGGCACACATAAAATTTAAGTGTAAACAGTGTAGACACTGTTCATCTGCAGCAACAATGCTCCAGTGGCTTACAGAACTGAGACCACCTACAGTTAATTAGCTGACTTATCCTAAAACCGCTCAGCAGGACACAACGGACAGTCATCCGAAACTGTAGGAGAGAAAAACTTCCATCTGCCACTTGCAAGGTTATGAAACCAAGACCTCCCAAGCTGGCAAAGTGTCTGGTCTTTGGACCCATGCCATCCTGGACTTTTACTTAAACTTCACTGATCCAGGCCAGTCCATGTCACAGTTCCTGGGAGTGCCTTTGTCCTGTCTGATAGCTTAAAAATGTCAAGTCCTTTTCTTCAACCATGGCTGTGTGAATGTGCCATATTATAGCATTGATTCTTGTTTATCTGCTTTACCTGTTCCAATCGCAGATTTGTGTTTTCAGAATCAGCTCTAGCTTATGTAATCATCCTAAGGTCTTTAATTTTTTTTCCTTGGAAGAGATCAAATCATTCCTTCAGTACATTTGTCCTAAAATGTTTAAAGTTGTTTCTAAAGACGTGTTTGACACTGGCTTCACGGTTACACATTATGTACATTTGTATACTCTTGTCACTCTCCACAGCTACAGAAATTGGTTGTATATGTAGTTTTGTAATGCTTTTTAAATAGGATTTCTACCAAGTACTTCCAATTTTTAATGCTTATATTTTCCTTCCCTATTATATTTAACAGAAAATATAATTAAATTATTGATGATTAAATGTTGCTTTCCCTAGGGAAATGGTTACGCTTACTAAATGTAGGGGTGTACATGCACATGTGTGCACATACATGTGAAGGTCAGAGGACAATGTCAGGCATTCTCACTTACATTCTTATTGAGACAGGGTCTAGAATATGCATAGTTATCTAAGATATCGTCCAGCAAGCCCCAGGGATTCCATGTTTCTGCCTCCCCAGTGCTGGGATTATAGGAGTTTATACCATCACAGTCAGCTTTCTTGCCTGAGTATTGGAGTCTGAACATATAACCTCACGTTTGAGCTATACCTGCCTAAGCCACCTGTCCAGACACTAATCATTAAAGTTTTATGCACTCACATATACTTCCTTGTTTTATATTTTGTTTTTACTTTTACTTTTAAAAATAAACTAGTTATTTTAATGTAGTATAATATTAATTTTCTCTTATTTCCATAGGTAAAAAGATGGCTTATCAGAAGGTCAATGCAGATTTAAGAGCCTCAGGACACTCACAGTACTTAGACAATGATGACATCCAAGCCACTGCCCTTGATTTAGAGTGGGATATGGAGAAGGAGCTGGAAGAGCCTGGCTTTGACCAGTTCCAACCAGATAATGCTGAGACTCAGAACTTGGGCCACTCAGAAACTTTAGACCTCCATCTTGATTCTATTCAACCAGCAAGTTCACCCAAAGGAAGGTTCCAGAGACTTCAAGAAGAGTCTGACTACGTTACCCACTACACAAGGTCTGCACCAAAGAGCAGCCGCTGCAACTTTTGCTGCCTTTTAAAAATAATTTGCATAGGCACCATTCTATTTAGTTTTGGAATTCTAATAGGTTATTATGCACACATGAATTGCCCTTCTGATGCCACACCATCACGAACAAATGACCCTCAGTTATACCAGGATATTCTCAAGACGATCGAAGCAGAAGATATTAAGAAATCTTTCAGGTAGGTGCAGAGAAATGGATGTTGGTGGCATGCATTTCCTGGGAGGTAAATCTCTGAAGAGAGATTAAACTGGAGTTGTAAGTTTGTTAAGAGGATGAACACAACTTACACCAGGAATAGAAACTTAGGGAAGGACACACATTTTCAGGTTTTGGGTTCTGCAATATAAAGTTATGATGTGATTTTATGAATTGATAATAGTAACCATAACTACAATGGCAACTGAAAGACTCTAGCCTATTCATTTTCTCCCTTTGAGAAATCTTGCTAGGCCATGTTGGGAAACAAAGATGATTTGAAACAAAAGCAATAAAAACTAGGATATTTGTCACATGGTTACAAATTTAATGGCACCACAATGAAATACATATGTTTTATAGGCTGAGATAACTGCCATTAATTACTCCCAGGGAAACTAGGGGTTGTTTAAACCTTGTATTTTTCACCTTTCAAGTAGGAAATCTCTATTTAAAACACACTAAGTTCCAACCATCAGATAGTCTAAAAAGCTACCTTCTCTACTGAAGGTGACTTAGTGGGGTAGCTATGGGGCCAGAATGCATTGATTATTCAATCAAATTATAATAAACCATTCTTATTAAGGAATCAATCTGAGTTATTAGAAAGAGTACCAATGTGACAACTTGATGATTGTTATTGGCTCATAGTTTACATACATAGTAAAATGGATGGAGAAGAACAATTGGAAATTGTCTCTTCCAAGAGCTTAGGAGAAACAAAACAGCCTTTTGTCACTTGTATAAAGGTAGAGTCCAGCAGTACTGCTTTCCCTGAATGTTTGTTGTGGGTCATAGTGATTTACAACTGCAGAGTTGCCTGCAAGTGTGTATATCTAGTGATCTTCCCTGGAAAACTTACACTGAAGATGTATGAAGTGTAGTAATGCTGATGAATTCTAATACTCTCCATGATGGGAATACAGATCCTGTGCACATCTTGTCTGGTTTTCACTGATGCTTAAGCATCCCTGGAAGTGTAATTGGCAGGTGATAATGCTTTCCATGATATTTCCTAATGTAAAATTTCTATATTGAATTGAGTTAAAAGTTGTGTTTTATAAATATCTTTTGTGTCAGTTGTGAGTTGACCTATATATCAGGAAATAGCTTGAATATTTCAAGCAATGGGTACGGAATTGTTTTATTTTATTTTGTGTGTTGTGTAGTGTTTATGTACACATATATCTAAAAGCCAGAGGTCAGTGTCAGGGGTCTTCCTTATTTGTTCTCCATCTTTCTTTTTGAGATAGTGTGTCTCTCTCTGAATCTGGTGTTTATATATTCAGACAGTTGACCAGTAAGCGCTAGGTGTCTTTCTGTGTTCTTCTTCCTAGTTCTGAGATTTCAGCTGTCATTTGTATCTATGCCTGGCTTTTATATGAGTACTATGGATAGAAGTCGCATCCTTACTCTTGCAAGGCAGGGACACTTTTGAGCAAACTACCTCTCAGCCAGCCCCTAAGCAATGAATATTCAGTGTAGGCCTGTTATTCCATGAAGAATGTGGAACTTATCAGAAAATAGTGAGGCAGCCCAGAATTAAGCCACCATTAAACCTAGGAAAATAAACTGGTGGATACTAGAATTTTCTGCTTTCACAAGTGCAGGCATGACACAACCTCAACCGGAGATAATACCAAGTCTAGAGAGGGTAAGAAGTACATCATCCCAGCTTCCTCCTGCCCCTTGGGGTCCTAGCAGCTCTTCCAATACCAGAATCCAGAAGGAGGCTGACTGGGAACCCCAGAAACATTTTCTAAAATTGTCAGAGGCTGAGCAGGGGTGAGAAGAAGGTCTTCCTATGCAGATGCCTCTGTCAGTGGGATGCTATTTCTCTAAGACAAAAGGTTAATTAGAACCGTATAAGGCTGTGTTTACTTCACCAAGGCATCCCGACTATATTGTAAAAGTAACTTCTGCAAGGGACCTAAGAGATTAATTTCTCTTTAACATTAAGAATAATTACATTCTCCCCTAGCTACATGTCAGTTTTCAATTTTTGAGCACAGTGTAGTTCATAGCCTCAAACCCATTTTTTCTTTACTTTGGCTTAGTCGGAGTTAATTCTGTATGAAGTCATAAGGGATTACCTGCTTGCATTTTATTTACTAACTAGGCTACTTATATATTTTCTTTCTTTACACTTCATTAATTTTGTTTGTTTTCAGCACTGTAAATACTTTTAAAAGCTTGCTAATATCTTTATTTCAAATAATCAACTGATGATAAAATTTTAGATATACAACTAAGTAAGAGTATTATATCCCTTATGATGGAATTTGAAGAAAAGTGGGTTTTATTTTCCAAATAAATAAAAGAAAATCAACAACAATATGATATATCTAAAGTTAACCTCAACACATATATTTACCAGGGATTAGTCTACAGGAACATCCCATGGTAAGACACATATTCAAATATGCTCTATAATAGCCATGGTTTTTCTTATTCATATAGTTTTCTTAGATAATAGTGTTTTGGTACAAATACGTTTATACTAACTATCTGAATAATATCCTCTCAGTCAATGACAACTTTTTCCTCAAAAATATTGCTAACCATATATCTTATTCTAAATTATGAGCTGGTTTCTTGCCAGCTTATAGTTACTTGGGGAAAGGGATTAACAATTGAGAAATGTCTATAAAATTTTCTTGTAGGCAAGTCTGTAGTACATTTTTTTTTTTACACACTGTGGGCTCGTGCTCCTGGGTTCTATGAAAAAGCAGGCTGAGCAAGTCATGAGGATCAAGTCATGGATAAGAAGCTCTCCCCGTTCATGGATTATAATTCAGTTTCTGTCCCCAGGTTTCTGTCTTTAAATCCTGCCATGTCATCTTTCAATGATGAACAGTGATATGAAGTGCAAGCAAAATAAACCTTTTCCTCTCCAAGTTGATTTTGGTCGCAACATTCTGTTACAATGACAGAACTTTAATTAAGGCAGAAATTAGTACCAGGAGTGGGATACAGCTATGATAAAGGAGAAGATTGTGTTAACTCTGGAACTTAGGCTTGGAAAAGCCACTGAGCTCCCAGGATTTTGGAACTGTTGTAGGAAGTATTTTGGCAATGGATTCCTCTCTATCAATTTTCAGTTCCTTTCCATGCTCTACAAGTAATTTTAGTCTTGTCAAATACTCTGTCAATTGCTCTATGTAAAAGATATTGCAGTTCACATTCCATGAAGAGAACAAATTTACTTTGCTGAACAGTAGACTACCATTTCTATCAGGTCCTTAAAGAATTAGTATTTATAAGGAAGAACAATCATTGTATGATAATAGGAATCAGATCTGCATTGGATTTATAAATTATTTATTGAGAAAATAACCTTGCTATTTCGACTTTCCAAATATTATTTCAAAGCAGTAATATGGACATAAAATGTGTATTATATTATCAATTATGTCATTACTCATGTATATGTTGTATTTATTGAAATAAATGACAACTTATATAAAGAGCAGATACTATCAAATGTTAAGATATTTCATTAAAGCCTCAATTCCAACTGTAGAAGACGATAATTACAACTATATTTTAAAGCCACTATGTAAAATTATTAAAACGAATACCAGTGTACCAGGGCCTTTAAAATTACCAAATGACATTATCATCTAGAAAGTCTGTACTCCAGAATCATACAGCTGAGGTCCCTAAGAATTACATAAGAACTCATGTTTCACTCCTGTTTTAAGTTCATGAGTTTGTGCATAGGTACAGATAAGTCAGTTTCTGAGTGTCTTGTGGACTTCATAAAAAGTAAGTAAGATTACTAACAGACTGACATTTGTTGACATAGTCAGTATCAGCAGAGAGGTATAAAGGTCATGTACATGTACTGCATGTTTGTGCTAATCAATTTTCTCAGAGTATGTTCTTAGTTATTTATTCTGGTACTTGTTGCTTTTTGGAAAATGGACTCTTCTTTAAGTTGGTAGCTTGTTTCCTACTTATGTTGTTCTGTGTTTGTGCATGTAGACTTGCAATATGTCAGGGATACTCTGAGACATCAGATTAAAATAGGTTATTAAAAGTTGCTTTAATGTATGCTTTCATTCATTTTGACAGTGAAGGTTATTGTAAGCATTCAAAGATGAACCTGATTTTACATCACCTAAAAATAGGAATTTTCTTTTGATCAGGACTGGGCATATAGAATTTTGAAGTGATATTATCCAAATATCTTTGTTCACTGATTTCAACTAAGCCTTGACCATTGAAAAAGCTTAACTCCATCTCTAGATGTTTTCCAGATTTTTATTTTCATTCTTTTTTAAATTGAAATTTTATTTTTTTCATTTAATATATTCTGAATATGATTTTGCCTTCCCCAACTCCTCCCAGATCCTTCCCAATTCTAAAAGAACCCAAATATCCACACCTCTATTTTTCCTCTCTTTCTTGTTAGAAAACAAAAGCATGAAAATGTAGGAATGCAGTTACTGAGGCAGCACACACAGAGTCTACACAAATTTAAGCCAGATGAGGTCCCAGAGCTGAGAGGGGAAGTAGACAAAAGGCCCGATCCCTAACCCAGATTTCTCCTGGTGATAACTGCCAACAACGTAATAATTTGTTTTCTCCAATTGAAGTCACTGGGTATACAAACCACATTTAAGGGACATCCCATGCCCAGTAGTAGATGGCCAACACAAGACAAACTAAATAGTATGTTGTCTCATAATGCTTTGTCTGGATAATTTTTTGTTTTCGAGACAGGGTTTCTCTGTTGTAGCTTTGGCGCCTGTCCTGGAACTCGCTCTGTAGACCAGGCTGGCCTCGAACCCATAGAGACCTGCCTGACTCTGCCTCCCAAGTGTTGGGATTAAAGGCGTGAGCCACCACTGCCTGGCTTGTCTGGAAAATTTTTTATGTTTTAGTTTTCATCTTACATCTTCACCAAGTAACTTAAATATCCTAGTTTATAATGAAAATTATCTGTCTAAATTTTGGGGAGGGGAGCCCGAAACATTT